GTTGACAAGGAATTTATTTGCTGCAAACCATTCAGAGGTCAAACTTAGGCTACTTTCCACTGCAGCTACAAGCTGCGTTACATCTGCACCCTTACTTAGAATGGTGGTATCGTCTGCATACAAATATGCTTCACAGTTGAGGCTGAAGGGCAGGTCATTGATGGCAATGAGGAACAGGAGAGGACCTAATACTGAGCCCTGAGGTACTCCACAGTTAGTGGATAGGACAGAGGACCAGGTATTGCCTATGCAAACTGCCTGTCTTCGATCAGCAAGGTATGTCCTGAATAGGCTGAGGCTCGCACCACGGATACCATAATACTCCAGCTTTTGGAGGAGGATGCCATGGTCAACACAATCAAAGGCCTTGCTTAGGTCAATAAAAGTGGCCCAAGCAGCCTCTCGACTTTCAAAACAATTGAAGACTGTGCGGACCATGGCATCGATGGCCCCCGTAGTAGAGCGTCCAGCCCTGAAACCAAATTGTTGTTCGTTGAACAGAGCATGATACTCAAAAAAATTTCTCACCTAGTTATAAATCACATGTTCGACTACCTTAGCCAAAGTCGGTACCAGACTGATAGGCCGATAGCTCTGAGGACTAGCTTTATCCCCCTTTTTGAAAATCGGACAGATCTTTGACAATTTTAAAAATTCAGGAAAGTGTCCTTCCTGAAGACAAGCATTTATGCATACTGTGAGAGGGAAAACAACACAGGAGGAGGTCTCTTTGATGAACCAGTTAGAAATGTCATAAATATCTTTTGTTTTTGAGTTTTTCATTTTCCTAATTACCGATAGGACTTCATCACAAGTTACATAACCAAACCTGAAAGATGCATTTGTTTGAGGTGCATTCTTTAGAAAAACATCAAAAGAAGTATTTACACTACTTATCTCACTACTTTCACTCATACTACGTACAATAGTGTGTCTATTTTTTGTAGACACCAATGAAAATCATAAGAAGATAGAGAAATACAGTATAGAATAGCAAAACTCTCATGAAGATTAAAAAAAAAAACTTGTTTTCATGTTAGGCTCCTTATCGAGATTTACAATAACACATATAGGCCTACTTAGGCGTAAAACAACGAGAATTGTTGAAAATTATACTTGTTATCAAGGCCAACTTGCTATTGAAATTTTTTATTGATGTATAAATTGAGAACAGAGTCAATAATCCCATACATGTCATTGTGTACTTCTAATCTAATATTCCTTTTGTTAACCTGGTGGTAATTTTTCAGCTACTGGATGAGTTGGAGACCAGAGTAGCTCCTGGTGGAAAGATTCTTGACTATCACAGCTGTGAGTTCTTCCCTGAACGATGGTTTGACGCAGTATACGTCCTCCGAACTGATACCAAGTACCTTTTTGACCGTCTCAAAGCAAGGTATTTAAAATGGCTATTTAATGGACACCAGATTGATGTTGATATTCTGGTTAGCTTTAGTAAGGACATTAAGTTCTTGGAGTATGGGAATTTTTTTAAAAGTTTAAATAACTAAACAAATGTTTTTTTATTGAATTTGGCTTGATATTTATGAATATTTTCTACAACTAAAATAGTTACAAACCTAAAAATGAATCCGCAATTACAACAAAATAAATAAAATCTTCTTGTGTTGTCCATGCACTGTAGATAACCTCTTAACCGACCTCGCATTAACCAATAATCCGACTATCCGCCCTCTCTATTAAAGGATTACAGTTTGTTTAAACTGGCCTTATTTTGAGAGCAGTTCCGTTTAACCACTGCTTTCTAGGAGTCTCGGCATTTCCGTTCCCACACTCGGCGATGGGATCAATAGGCTACGCTAAACCTTACAGGATGTTACTGTATAAAAAACATCCTGTCTCATAGTTCATAACAAAATGGTTGCTTGTATCTTTAATTTGGAAAATAAGTGTATTTCGATGGATTTGAAAAGTATCAAATCAATTAATTTTACCAAAGGTATTAAAATAAGAATTTCTATTGAATTTTGCCTCTCGCTACAATTTATTCCATTGAAAGTATTTGACTTAACTGTGTTTTGGATTTATTTGTGACTTTTCTACCGTCCATACTGAAGAAAAAAAGGAGATCAGTGTTGTTTATTTAGTAAATAATGCACACACGGCTTCAGAATAATGATTATAAAGGCTAACTCCAAAAGAATAGCACTTCAAGTTTTTAGGGATTGTCTGTTTTAACCGACCTTTTGAGTTATTCAACCTTTTATTTTATATTTATCAAAATAGGACTGACGTTCAAGGGTAACTGTACTTGCTTGGATTCAACTAAACTACCTAGTAAAATTGTTTTTGTAGTAAGCTAATAAAAAAATAAAAGATAAAACGCAATAGATCGTAATATTACGGTTTTATTAATGATTCCAATATTGTTAAGTAAGAAAGCAGTTTTACAATAAACATACATTATTATGATGCTTGCAACAGGTATATTTCTATCACAGTGACCTTATGACTATCATTCAAATTCATAGAAAATCAGGCAAATTTGAATATTCAACAATTGCTCAAACGTTGTAGGCATGTTCTTCGACCACAATAATTTCAAGAATAAACCCAAGTACTCTATCCAGGATTGTTCTGGAAACAAATAAATGCAATTTTCAAACAATCATGAACTTTCAAGAATTAAACATCTTTAATTGTCTTACATGCAATTATCTTAATTTCAGAGGTTATTCAGGCAAGAAGTTTGACGACAACATCCAGTGTGAGATATTTCAGACGATTCTAGACGAGGCGAGAGAGTCTTACAAGCCTGAGATTGTGTTTGAGCTGCAAAGTAACACTGACGATGACACCGGAGCCAACATATGCACTATTGTTGACTGGATAGAGAAGTGGAAGAAAGACAACGGCAATCACTGGTTGGTTTAAAACGAATTCTTTTCGTTATACTCTTTACGCCACACAACACTGTTTAAACAAACTTCCCACGCAAGGATTTAGTCCAGATAACAGCTGTTTGCCGCCAGCTTAATCAAATGGGGTTTCATTGCGTACTGCTATACTGTAATTTATTTATTTAATTTACTAGCTGATTAAATTTGGCAATGAGTGGTTATAAAACATAATCTCTCATAGAGGTTATAAGTAGTGACTCAATCCTTTAGTCGGTGGGAATATAAGGATTTCTCTAAATTTTTTTATTGTTAAGTTTGTTTAGAGTAGTATGGCGTAAAATATCGTACATCACTCGTCCAAAATGTGTTTACCAGACTCGTATGGTAATCCTCCACTCAACTTCGTCTCGCATGGGAACGACCACACTTGTCCGGTAAACACCTATTTTCAGGACTAGTCATGTAATATACGATTACATAAAGAAACCTGCAAAAATGCACAGACACACCATAATATTATTTTTCAATTTCCCAAACAAGTTCCTTAATAATCTTCTACAGTTTATTTCCTACCTAAAGTTGTTCACCATAAGAAAAAAGTAGTTTATTAGTATATTTAAAATTACAAAAATCCGTTTAGGCTATATTGTAAAGCTTACTTGCCAGAACGGTTTTTAAAGGTTTAACTATAGAATAGCTAATATATTACAGCAATACACTTTTTCAGCCAGACCAAGTTCTTCAAAATAATTTTAGTTGGTAGGTTAGATCAATCATAATATTAAATTAGCCTAAATAATTTGTTATGATTATTGATTTTTGCATCATTTAATTTTTTTGCTGTCTATAACTTAACTTAACACAATCTAAATACATAATACATGAATACAAATTTATGTAATTTTATGTACTACTTCCTAGTAGGTAGATTATCCAACTGTCCTCAAAGGTTGAATATGTACACCAGACCAGCGTCCCACTAAAGCCCCATTTACACAACCTGATCCCGACCGTCCACCATTCCCGTTCCCGGTCCCGACCGCCCTCTCACCTGGTCGACAGAGCGTTGTGTTTACACGATCCGTTCTCTGTGCCGGATCTGAGCTCATTGCGTTCTTTGTTGGAGAACGACATTAGATTGTAATAAGTAGTTTTTTGGAAGTTTTTCAAAGTGTAAATATAAAGCTTAGGTGTCCCACAACAGTTTGTAATATTTGTGCACTTCTATAATTTCCATCAAAACACCTTTTTCCTTCTGTGGAGTAGATTACGTCATCTCAAAAACACAAAAAAATGTAAAATGCAACTCAGACACTCATATCAAGGTTGGACTGAGAGAGTTACCTGGTGTAGAGCTTCGGAATTCACATCTGTTCCCAGAGGAAGTGCGCTATCCTCACCCTTCCTCTCTAAATCCGATGGAAATCCTTCCCAACCTCCCTACCCGATCGCCATCCAATCGTGACCAGGAGCACGTGTTTACACGATCCGATTTCAGGGCCTAATCCGAACTAATCACCACCAGACCCTGTTCCAATTACTAAACCATTCTTGGTAGCTGAAATGCATTAACATTGTAACAAACAAATTTAAACAAAATATTTTGTATGTTCAAATGGTTATATTCCTCAACTTAATGATTGCTTTCCACAAGAATGAAAATACCAAGATCATCTCCTGCGATTTTTGCCACAACATGATTGTCTTCTGCGATCATGGAACTCCGGTAATCATCTCCCACGGCCTTGTTTTTTTAATTCACGACAACCTTAAAAGAGAACTAATGGAGCTTGGCGTTAGGCTAGGTGAATATCCCTAATTTCCCGGCTCTCAAGTACTATTCCCAGTTTTCTCGGTTTCCTGGTCAGCAGAACATTCTGGTCAGTATGAAAGAGAACACATAGTCTTTTTTCATTTAAAAACAGTGACTCCAACTACTCCCCAACTAGTGTTTTTGTTAGGGTGTATCTTTGACTGGCTGTATTAAGAAATAAAGTTTTAAAATTTTAATTTACTTAATAATTATTGTTAGTTTATAATCAAATCAAAGTTGTGTGCTAGAAACAAATTGATAAGTTCATTATTTGTATCTATTTTTTTTCTCTTACAGATTTAAACATTCTACACCTTAGTTCTACAATGGCAGCAGTACTACAACGTCAACCTTTAACCATAAAACAGCAGGTCGAAGAGTTAAAAAACTGGCACAAACAACAACAAAGTAAAATAGATGATAAAACAGTAGATAGAAACTCTACTAGTAGGGAAATAAAAAACAATGGTTATTTTACAAACCCATCTTGCGAATCAAGCCCAAACTCGAGAATAAACTTTGACGAAATTCCTATTAAAGTAAGCAACAGTAATTTTACAGCCCTTGTTGAAAATAATGTAAGCCCCGTGGATTCTCATGAAACAAAAAAACTAGAAGGAAAAGACAAACCTAAGTTCCGTTTTTTAAAAAGAGGAGAAGGTATAGCTAGATTTAATATGGGCCCATCTAAAAACAGTAAGAAATTCATTCCAAGAAGACAACCTAGCCTCAAGCTAATAAAAGAGCCAGCAAAATCATCTGAAAATCCAAAACTTGTAAGTCATCATAGCAGTATCCAATCAAGAAAAAGTGAAGATATTCCAACGCTTAAAGCTCCTGACCTAAAACTAAACTTTACTTGGAAAAGCATTCTAAGTGGTGGAAATCCAGAAGATATGTTGGAAAAGGTTATCAATAGCAATCATTTTGAAAAAATGGACCCCAACTCAAGCATTGACTCTTCAACTGCTTCGTTGATGGAAAAACTCTTAGCGTTAGGTAAAAACAGATTGTCTAGGGATAGGGAGGAGCTCAGAGTTTTTGAAACACTAGAGCAACATATGTTGGACTCCAGTTTTTGTTCCACCTCATCATATGTAAACAAGCTAATGGAAAATGCAGTAATGTCAACTCCGAATAAAGGGAAAATTGAGAGTCAACAGTACAAAACACAAGCAATCACATCAAAATACAGCAATCAGTTACCTGAAAAAATACAAAGTGTGATTGAGCAAAATACCCAAGAAAAAACTGTGGTTCCTGGTATGGCTGCAGCATCTGCACATGAGGCAAAGAATGACAAAGAAGAAAATATGACTGAAAATGGCGTGATTAATGAGGAATTACAAAGTTATCAGAACAAGAATAAAAACAGTACTGAACTGGAACCTCGTCATGCAGTTGCTACTTGGACAACAAATGCAAACAGAAGTGAAGAAAATTGTATTTCAGTTGAAAGTAGCTTGGAAGATTGTGAACAAAGTTTACATGTAAGATTTGCTGACAAGATTAATTATAAGAGCTTTGTTGAACAATCACAATCTATTGATAGTGGAAGTCTTAAAGATGGTAACAGAATTACAGAATTTGACGAGAGCCATGAATGGAGAGAAGAGAGCAGCAGCAGTTGTAGTCAGTGTTCCAATCAGTCTTCAGATGAAGATGCTAGACCTTTTATACCTCAAGATGAACAATCATTTAGAAATCTTCAAAATGAGAGAAACCCTTCTCAGGAATGCCTAAGAGTTACCGACCTATTAAAAAATGAAAACCATGAAAATAATGAAGCTTCTTCAAACAATGATCACAACTTTCCACCTTTATTGTTAGCAAAACTAAAAGAACTGGAAGAAGAAATAATAATCTTTCGTGAAGAAAACAGTAATATCAAAGCCCTGAGAGAAAGTTTAGAAAGAGAACGTAGGCAGATACAAGAAGAAAAAAGGCGAATGAATTTGGAAAAGAAAAAGTTGCAAAAAGAATTAGAGGAAGAAAAGAAACAACTGAAAGCTCATCTTGAGGAAGAGAAACAAAAATTAGCAAAGGAAAAAGTAACATTTGAGAAGTACTCTAAGTCGCTAACGAAAAATCCTACTAGGGAAGAAAGAAAAGAAATTCAGGCTTTAAAAGAACAATTAACTGAAATGAAAGAAGAACTCAACAAAAAAGAAAGTCGATGGGGAGCTGCTCAAGCTAGGGTAAGAAATCAAGTGAAAGTTCTTGAGGAAGATAATAAAAAATTAAAGGAAGAAATTGAAACTTTTAGAAAGCAGGCCAAATACTGGGATCTATTTAACCAGAAGAAAAAAGGGAAACCTTTCAACAACACAAAATTAATCCATGCTATAAGTGAACATATTTCAAACCTTGTACTTGATGAAGAAAATCATCGAGAAAAAAGTAATAAGAATGAAGGTTGTTTTACAAAGAAATTGTCTGGTACTGAAACCACCCAATCGAACTTCAGATCGTCTGCTACCCAATTAGACCTTCAAAGCATGTATGGCGTCAAAGTAATAAGACAAAATGTGAACAGGGAACCGCCAAATTTTAATAATACATCAAAATCAAATCCTACCCAAGAAGAAATTTCAGTAAATAAGGCAGAATCTGTTGTTACTTTAAACGATTCCCAAGGTTCTAGTAAAAAGATTACAACAATTACCTCCACTCAAGCTGAAATTTTTGACAATAATTCTCAAGTGGCAGACAGATGTTCAAAACCTCAATTAGAAGAAGAATCTAACACTATAAAAGAAGTTACCGATGAAAGTGGTAATGTAGAAATAACGTTTCCAAATGGAAACATTAAAAAGATGAACAAAATCACTGGCAGTGAGAAATACATTTACATAAATGGCGATGTGGAAGAAATTACTCGTGATGGTACGGTAAAGTACTATTACTCTAAAAGTCGAATTTGGCAAACAACTCTTCCAGATGGTTTGGAAATCGTGGACTTTCCTGATGGCAAGATTGAAAAGCGGCACGTGGACGGTACAGTCGAAATAGTGTATTCAAATAACAATAAGAAAATATCTTACCCTAATGGATCTCAAGAGATTATCTACACAGACGGAACTCGACTTAGAATCGAAGCTGACAAAACTCAAATATTGACTCTTCCAAACGGGCAGAAAGAAATACACACTGCTGAATGGAAACGGAGGGAATACCCAGATGGAACTATGAAAACTTTGTTTCCAGATGGAACCACAGAAACTGTCTACTCAAACGGTAGAGTTCGGTTGAAAGACAAATATGGGAATTTAGTCATGGACTCTGGCTCACCATCCCATGGATTTACTCAGTGATAAAATCACTTTGAAAATTTCCTTTATTATTCCATCTTGCATAGTTGTTGAGTTGTAAGAGTAATTGTGACAATGAAATGCTGTATTTTAAGTTTAACATTTTAGAAATAATTTTGTTTAGCCAAAGACTCTTCTATAATGTTGATGATTGTTGATTTCCATATAATGCTCTGTTAATGTTACAATTTCTTTGTAAATATTATAAAACTTATTTTGTACTGCTGTAAAAAGTTTTGTAAATGACTATGTTGTATCTAAGTGGTGCAATAAAAACTATTTTTAACTGAACGTTTTGGTTTTTTATCAACAATCATGTATTTTAACTTAAGTTTCTAAATAGTGATTTTTTCCATTCTAAAACCACATGGATATTTGTATAGTAACAAACTTAGCGAACCAAAAATAAGTCTACATTTTGACACACTTCATGTTCAAGAATGTGATAAGAATGTCAAAAGCATCACTTTGTCTGCAACTCACGAGCGAACTGTCAGTCAATTTACTGAGACATGTGTCAGTTGCATGATACTGAATAAAACATCTTAGACGTAATATTTATCATGTAGTGTGGCAATTGGCAATGCTATATATTTTGTTAGACTGATAACAGTTATCAGTCTAAGAAATGAATTTATTAGTTACTAATAAATTCATTAACTACTTTAAATTACAAACAAGTTTAAATTTTTTCCTCTTCAATCCCTCTGAAAGCTATATTAGGACGAAATATCTGTGTTTTGTGATACTATTGTGTATCTATTACTCACCAATCTTATTTTCTTAGGTGAGCTAGTTGAACTTGATCCCTCATCAAAACAATTTCCAAGCAATCACTTAGCTTTCACTAAATTTCAACATCACAATAGTGTTTATTTGTTTAGTAATACATTCATACTTTAAAGACTTTTTATTGTAGATACTTGTATATTTATTTATAGACCGGAGGTAAATAGATGGGACCATTCCGGCATTTGCCTTAGTGAGGGAATAAACCGTACTTCTCTCAGAATGGTCAACCTGATAGACTCCCGAATGTGAAGCAGCATTGCTACCTCGGTCAAATTAGTATTAGTATATGAAATACTTTATTACTATACAAGTACAAAAGATACGTAAATACGAGCTACATGAGATACTTAACACTAGATACATAATACACACTTCAACAAGCCCGTTCTAACTCATACTGTTATTACATCTTCAGTCCTTGTCCTCTGTCCCAACTTGACTTTAATCGGCTCACAGTGTTGTTCCAAACTGTTCAGTTTCCTCCTCTTGAAGTTTCGCAGATATTCCATCTCCTCATCCATAGTTGCATTCATCTGATAAATCTCTGCATTTTCCTTATACTTTTTCCCATTGCAGATCCCTTGTCACTTTACTCCAAGCAATCCTTTTATCTATGTCTATCCTTCGCTTAACTGAAGCAATACAACATCAGGTCTCCGTATGGTTCTATCTCCCATTTTCCATTTTACCTTAACACACATACCAAGTTTCATAAAATTCGGCTGAAACGATTTAAACATAAAAATATTTATGTAAAAAATACAAAATGGTGGATATTTTGGTTAGCGAAGCGATTATGGAAAATGTGTTATTCTAGTTTTTCTATTTTGACCCGTATACGTAAATTATGTCCCCACCTTTTTTGAACACCCTGTATATTTTATCTAACAAATTTGAACCTTTTTTTTGACGATTCAGAGGAAAAACATACAATCAGACGTTTTTAAACATGAAACCTAATAGTTTTACCAGTGTCAAAGGCAAATAAATTCTGGTAGAAAAACAAAGCAAAACACTTTAATATAATCAATTTTGACATGTAAAGATAATAAAACATTTGTTATTTAAATTAATAAATAACTGGTACTCCAGCCCCATCTTCAAATACCCCCCTCTGGTAGAAAAACTTGAGTGACCTGGTTAATTTAATAATCGGTATGAACAAAACTGTTACATTATAATTAGTTTAAAACCGCGTAGTTTCGTTTCAAAAGCATATTAATTCAAAGTCATGCAATGAGTTAAATGGCTGGATTCTAAATGATAGTCAGAGTTAAATTCTTGACATTTGTCATGAATGACATCTGTCGCTGTCACTCTCAACTAGAAAACTCTGTTGAAGCCGAGAAGTAACAAACTTCAGCACAAGATGTTTTCCCTGTCACAATCTCGGTTTTCCAGTCATTGTTAAATTCACACTTTGACGTTTCCCTAAAAAAAAAACCTTTACAAGATAATGAGGTAAAGAAACCTAAACAATTAAGTTACAAATATATGGGTTGCTTGGATTGAGTCACTTAAATTGTCAATGTTTTTACAATAGTACTTAAAAATAAAGTAGATTCAAGCCATTGTACTCTCACACTAACGGATGTTTTGTCAATACTCTATTGCAAAAGCTTACGCAATGTATAGTTTTGGGTGGCTCGTTTTTGTTAAATTTGAAATGTTTAATTAGGAGCCATTTTAAGGATATCACAACATAAATTGCCCAAACTTTTTTATTTATTAAGAAAAAAGTGGATTGGTTATGGGATTTGGGACTTAAAATGATTTAAATTTGATGTTTTGAGATTTTTTAAATTTTAATTTTAAATTACGTGCACTAATTAATAAAAATGTAAAAAAAAAATGTTAAAATGTAATTTTTTAATTGATAGTTTGGTAAAAATAACTTTTAACACTTAAAACCACTCTTAAAGTTTATACATATTTCATAAAATATTTTACCAAGGGTTATGAGTTTTTTGATAGAATTAAGTGTGTATGATGTTGACAAATTTATCACTTATTTAAGGTGTCCAGTCCAGTTATGTAAATAGAAAATTTATTGTAAAATATGGTGATGCCATACGTATGTTTTGTATGTTTTACGGAAATAAATGATTTGATTTGATTTAATTTTTTATTACAAATTATAATATGTATATTTTAAACCAACCCGGATAGAACAAATGTTTTAATTTTTTTACTGTTATGTTTACGTAAAATTAGGTATTACCACATAGAATGATACACATTGTTGTGATACCTACCCAATATATTCATAATATACTGAAGAAGTTTAAAAAAACAATAGAACAATTTAAAACTTGTGCTATTATGACAAAGTAATACTGTATAAACTAAATCTAATTAAAATGGTATAAACATGAAATATTCGTAACCAATAAAATGTGGGTAAAATGTATCATAGTCATACAAATCTTATAACCAATTTTATTGTTATAGATACAGATTGGAATCAAAACTACACTTATATTCATAAATTCTAAGAAATGGAACTTCAGATGATTTACAAATACTTTCAATGGAATAGCCTTGTTAAAGAAAGATTAAAAGAGAATATTACTACTTTACATTTTGAAAGGAATGAATTTCTCGTTTTAAATGTCTATTGAAACCCCACAGTGGAGCATAGCAATACGAATTAATAGAGCGGACAGCTGAAGATATTTGTAATATTTATGTGCTCTTATATTTATCTCGCACCATTCATTTTCTTTGAAAAGAATCAGAATTTCAAAGGGTCTTAACACTCACAAAACAAACTTAGCAAAATGTTAGTTTATGTCGATGGTTAATATTCCTCGACCTTGGAAATATACATATGCCAGTAGATTAGTAGCTTTTCTTAATTTTTATTTAAATTTGAAAAAAAAGATATCCATAATATTAAACCTTTGCAGTATATGTATGTCTTAAAATCATTTAAATACATTGTAACTGAATTCTTTTCTTTATTTTCAACATGATTAATTTCATAATTAGTTTGCTTGGAAGCGTGTCCCCTCACATGTTTGTTGTGACTTAATATGGTTTTAATTTTTACAGATTGTTTAGTCTCCAGGCATTGTATTCTTGATACAACTTATTTTTAAAAGGTTTGTGTTACATACTTACACGACAAAGGACTGGATACTGGATTATTCTCGTAAAAAATCATAAAAATCTCAGTATTGTAGAAAACATTAGAAAAACACATCAAATTAAAAATAAAACTTTTCAATCACTGCCCTCCATTTTACTTTCTCTAAATTTCCACTCTCAGGTCTAGGTTTTGGGCAGAAAGTAATTGAAGTCAAACGTGATCTTCTATTTCAAATACTGTTACATTGGTTTGAAGAACCATGATTGTATTAACTTTTGATGTTCACCAGCAACAAAGATAATCAACGAAGTGAACACTCAAAGCAAGGCATGTGTTGTAATTTGACTCAGGGCTTCAAACTGGATTGAATGAAAAGTAACAATGTTTTTTTGAAACAAAGGCAATATGATTGACGTTTCCTTTATGTATCCGACACCCATCATTGTAAATCTGACTTAGAAAATAACCAAAGTGAAAAAAGCAAAAATATGTCCTTCCCACCAAGCATTTCCAAGCATAAGACCAATTTGACGATACCTGATTTTGATTACACATACATAAATCAATAATTTAAAATAAATATTTAAAATTTTATTCAGTTCAAATTACTTAAAACACTCAAGTGACTATGGCTTTGAATATTTTTCAATATTCAAAGTCATTATCATTTACAGTGAATGTGTGAGGAAATGACATAAATATTCTACTAACTTCATACTTATACTTGCTGAAACAAGATTTTTTCATCACACCGAAACGAAAGTAACTATTTTCGATAACTTCTGATTTTCCCTAGCTCTAAATTTACTTTCCCTCACTCTCAATTAGTTCTCCATTTACTCACTACGTGCGCTAGTGTTTTGTTACGGTTTAATTTAAAGATTTGTATCAGCTGTGTGTATTGTTAAAAGTTGTTTTATTCTTTTATTTTGATGTAAAAAAAATTAATCCTACTAATATTATAAATGAGAAAGTTTAGATGTATGGATGTATGGATGTATGTTTGTGACAAGTGAACGCGAAAAATACTGGTCGGATTGGGCTGAAATTTGGCATGATGATAGCTCACATTCCCGATTAACATATAGGCATATTCTTATTTCAAAAATCCTTTCGGGCTCCGCCCCAATGGCTCTGGAGTTTCCCATGTTAACCTTATGAGAAATGGAATTATTGAATCTTAACAGCTGATTCAACTAAACAAGTTGGTTCTGTTCTATGATGTTCAATAGCATTAAAGTTACAAGGATTACCAACAGGGTGCAGCACTATTATTTCTTTTACTTTTATGACAACAGCTAATTTGCAACCAAAAGGTGAGTGAGCGTAGCGAACGAACTTCAACCTGGAGGCAAATTAGCGTAGCGAATGAGCTAACCTGAAGGCAAGTGAGCGCAG